ACCTCTCCAGCTACCAGTCCACTCCATATTTTGTAGTCTGTGGGACTTGAACCAGTGACCCTCCGGTTCCCAAGCCAAGTCCCTACAGACTGAGCTACTGCCGCCCCTATGCATCATGTTAATGAGCTTATAATGAGTTTATAATACTTTGTGAACCAGCTACCCTGTAGTTATAAATAATGTGATAACTAAAGTGTAGGCACTAGTCCAGCAAGTGTATATTTAAGTGTGTGACTTAATTATTAAGGTTTTCTTCATTTAACCCTAAAATAATTACAAAACAGCTGCCTATAGGACCCTGTTTCCTCAACCACTTTCTCGTGACTAACCTCAAACTAACCAGGCAAAACACAAGACAGCACGGTCCTGTGGCGGGAAGGGCATATTTTCTGCCTCCCTGAATGTTGGCTGATTATCACAGTATCCTGACAAGGTCTTAGATCTCATTACCAGCAGATAGATGACTCTGTGCAGGAAAACAAACAGCAGCGATGTCAGATCTACCGGATTAGCACTGAGGTGCTATGGGAAGCTGCTGAAAAGTCTGGGAACAGGGACATCTCAACTTCTCAACACAGACTAGGTCATCCTCTGATGTTTCAGCTGGGACATTATAGATACTGCTGCTACACCAAACCTTTTCTGAATAATATACAACCTGAAGACCCCCATCAGCCTTCTCTCTGGTACAGCACACTTCATATAAAGATTGTGATCGCTCCCTTTTTTTACCAAAGACCAATGCTTTATGAGGCTTTGGTTTCTAAATATCTACCTTGCAGGACTTTTGTAGTGTTAGATTAATTTTTTAACTAGTAACTTCCTGCATGGCCTTACAAGTTGAAATTTAAAGGAGGAAATGCATTGTTATTATTTTCTGACTTAAATCATTGATGCATTTCTACTAATAAAGTATTTTTAGAGTCTCTTTGTGTCTGAGACAGCGAGAACAGACAGCAAGGGAAAGGTTACACACAATGTCAAGGTCCCATAAATGCTAGTAACACCACACTGTCACTACATCCTCCCTGTGTTTGCAGGCACACACACACACTGAGGAACAGAGTATACCAAGTAAGTAGACACAGCACTAACACGTGCATGCAAACTCTCGTATGCGTACAGCACCACTGTTTGAAGACACTCTCATTGGCGGGCCAGTGAGAATACAGTGGACACAGAGAACTCGGGAATCTGGTTCAGTGGTTAAAGTATGAGGACAACAACACAGTGTTTCATTATAGTCAAGGATGGCATTGTTCTGGATGCAGAACGGAAACAACCAGGTCTGATGGTTCACACACTCAGACTGACCTTTAATAGTAACTTAGACACACTGTGCATACCAGTATATTATACAGCCACATGAAAGCATTGAATATGATCCTGGCTAGACTGAAGTTCAGGTCAGACCCGGGTCACAAAGCGTGTGTGTGCTATTGTTTTAATGGACGCGTGTATGAATACATGCACACTGATGTGTTTGACAAAGTGTGTAAATCTGACTGTCCCAGTCTGAATACACCGTGGACACGTGGATGCTATGACATATTTGTGAAGTCCATAACTAAGTTTAGGCACTAATGTATTCATTTTTCTTTGGCTGAGTCACCCCCCTGTCGCACGGCACTTTAAACTCTGCTGCTTTGAACTGCCCTGCAGAAAACAAAGCTCCGTCCTGCTGCAGACAATAAAGCAGCTGGATTTCTGCACATGTGCCTTTGTGTTGGTCTGAGGCCTTGTCATAACTCCATCAGATGGGCCTAGACTTTCATCACGCAAACACACGTACACCGAAAGTCACTGGCTCGGGGAGATGGATGGCAGTGTTAGCACAAAAGAATATTTGATTTGGTTATAAATACCACAACATGAAAGAGAAGCCCAGCAGGGTAAAGGGCAAAGGGCATGAAAACCAGAGGAGGCAAAATCTTCATCATCATCACCATCATATATGGTGTGTCTGGAAATCAGGTTAGCATTATTGAACTGTGACCAGTGCTTTATGTCTCCTCTTTTGCCCATTTCATTTGTCTTTATGTCCTCCATGTCCTTCATGATAATATATTTTCTCATATTTCAGAAATGGCCAATGTTGTTAAAAAATAAAAGGTTTACATTCACAAAAGATATATTATAAGCAACTTCACTGGATTTAGGTGTTAAAAAGGATCTTGGTGTTTATTTAAAGGTCCAGGGTGTAACATTCAGGAGGCTCTATTGGTAGAACTCACTTTTTTGTGAGTTTCACGACCACCCTAGTTTCTCCTACACAGGTTCTCCTACACAGTCCATTCTCATTCCCACACGCAAGCGGTGTTCAGTTACTTGCAATCTGCAACTTCATCGCTAATTGCCACTGAATCTTACACACCAGTCCTTTAAGTCAAACAACGTGACTTGAAAAACAAGATTTCTCTGCTACAAAATCCAGCATCACAAAGCAGTTTAATTGTGTATTTAAAGCCCCCCTCCACTCAAAAATGTGTGTTCTGCTTGTTGTGTCCTAAACTAGAGGTCTGTTTTGACATCAATCTGCTAAAGAGGGAAAGTTGTGCTCAGCTTAAATCTTTGTGTACAACTTTGTGGCATCACATGTAGTTTGGAAGCCAATTCTGGTGCAGTGTGCAATTTACACAAGTGTGATGTGGAAACTTGAAGAGATGCACATACACATGAGAAAGGACATTGTGTGCCCTGCTGTTAAACTTTAAATTAAAAATATTTGTACATTCATTCAAGTCTGGATTTGTTTAAAGGCAGGAGAAGCAATTTTACGATTTTTTAAAATGAATTAAATTTTAAAATTTAAAATTATTATTCAATGCAAAGTATTTTTCTGTCTTTAAAAATACCTGGAGGGCCTATTTAACTGATTATAATAGTAAGAATTATATAGCTTAAGTAATAGTAATAATAAAACTTCAAATTCAAAAACAATTTTAGTTGCAAAAGATAAAATAAAGAAAAACAATATAAGAAAACAGAAATAATAAAATAAAGTGGAAGTTTCTGTTAACTCACCAGTAAGTTAATTAGTATTTTGTATGCAGACATGTCAAACACAATGCTGAATTGAAACTTGGTCTCTTGTCTGCATACTGTTGCTCTCTCTGCAGGTCAGACGTCCCTCCCCCTCCGCTGTGTGAGTGGTTTAAAGTTTCACTTCTCGGTCTCTGATTGGCCCGTGAAGTTTTTCTGAGGCTGAATAACTCCACAGCTCTGCGTCCCCCTGACGCACAGCAGCCCGGAGAAGTTAAGAGGAGAGACTAGGGAGTTTAGCGGTGTTCTCTTATCTTACACATCAGGGTAAGAGGATACAAAACTATGGAGGTTATCAGAGATAGAAGCAGATTTGATTTATAGAAGAATTTTACTCGCAGAGGTTTAGGACATCGCAGTTTTGGAATAATCGTTTTCTAACGTTTTTTCTTTTTTTTAACGTTACTTTGCATCATCCACTGTCGAAAATGTCTGGTTCTGGGGTCTGGATTAACGCAATTTGGATTTTACTCTTTGCCCTTTTTGACGTGGCTTTCTCAAGCTACTCTGAAGACCAGTGCAGCTGGAGAGGCAGGCAAGTGTTTCATATTGTGTCTGTGCTGTTTCTGCATGGGGTTGAATGAACTGATGATTGCAAAAAAAAAAAAAATGCCGCTCAGAGATGCTACAGGTGGCTCTTGGTTTTGGACAATGCTTAAATGCAACATGTTGGGACATGCCATTAGGGCGCAGTTAAAATGTTTCTAGTGCTCTGCTGCGATTGCGCCTGCGGGTTGTCTGCAGGACGCATGGGGGGTCCAGACAGACAGGAGACTGGAGGATTAACTCTGATACTTGGAGGAAAAACACAATGTGCATGCAGTTATTGGAGGGTGGTTTCATTTCAGATTTGTTATTAAAACACCTGCAGAGGACTTTCACTATTTATGTGAGTTTGGCCCTTAAGATGCAATGATTGGCCCCTGCTTTTACAGAGCTGCCAGTAGGCGGCGCCTTCTCTGAGTATGTCCTGATCTACTAAAGTTATACTAAAGCTGGGTTAAACATTTTTATATATATATCATCTTGGGTTTATTCTCATTTTTAATGTAAAAAGTTCAGTTTTAAATGCATGTTTGCAGGGCTCACATTTAATTGGTCCATCCATTTTAGCAATTATTCAGTGCAGCTGTTTCAGGAAAGTTTCCACTGATGATGATGTTAAGGATTTAGATTTTGAACCCACACTCTTGCCTGGAAAAATATTACAGGAACCTTTCTATAACCTTTTTTTCTTCCCCTTTTTTCCTCCTCACAGTGGTTTGTCCCAGCAGCAGGGCAGCGTTGAGCAGATCTCCCTCCACTGCTCTGAGGGCACACTGGACTGGCTGTATCCCAAAGGGGCCCTGCGACTTACCCTCTCACCCCGCCTGCCCTCTGTGGCAGTGGGGCCCGGCGGCAGCAGCTCAGGCCTCATCACGGCCTGCGTCAAGCCCTCGGAGCAGTTCCACGGAGCCCAGCTGTACCTGGAGAGAGACGGGGTCCTGGAGCTCCTGGTAGGGGACCGCCTGGAGTCCTCTCCCCCGCCGAGGGTTCGCTGCTTCAGCCGGCTACCTGGGGAGAGGGTGGCTCTCTTCCTGCAAGCTACACCTCATCAGGACATTAGCAGGAGGATCGCCTCCTTCCGCTATGAGCTGAGAGGGGACTGGACCGCTCGCCTGTCGCTGGACTCCAACCCCATCAGCAGTGAAGGTGAGTCAGTGAGGCAGCCATGTTGGTTTGAGTGTGGCCACTTAAGGTCAATGAATTGGAAATTTTAGTGACTACATAAAGGACAAGAGAACTTTTGGCCAGTTTTATCTCTTTGCAACAGAAACTTATATCTCAACTCACTCTGTTTCTCACTTGCAACAATAGTCAATGCATCAGTTGCTGTGTGAACACCTGAATGTTCACTAAGTGTCTTTTGTAGGACTTCTCAGTCACAAAAAAAAACTCTTTCAAAAAACAAACTGTGGTCAAAGTTATTTTCCCTCCTTCCTGAAAAGGTTGGGAAACCCAGCGCTTTAACCCACCAGTGATGATATTTTACACCATAAAATCCTCCCCGTAGATGATTCATAATTCATAACAGGCCTCTGTGGGCTGGTTGGACTTTCCCCGGCCCATGCAGAGTGCAGAGAGGAGGAAGTGGCAAAACCTTCCCCAGAGGCGTGCTGGTTTGGAGTAGGAGAAGGGGAGCCATGGAGTGGGGAGGAGGGGGACAAAAGCACAGTATGTGGGGCTTTCTCCAGAGTCCAGAGCCCTTTGAATGGGTGCCGCATGAGTATTCTGGGATTACTGCCGTCACCTAGGCGACAGGGAGGCCTCTGCCCAGCTGAGATGCTCTTCTCTTTTGTTGAGCTGCCTCTCTGTGGGGAGACTTGTCTGTAGGCGTATACACCCCCCCCCCCCCCCCC